CTAAGGTGATAACCACTATTATTCAGTTTGAAAAGATCTGCTATGTGCTAAGGTGATAAGTTATTTTTCACTTTATACATAACTGTGGCCATTTCCTGTNGTCCACTTTTGGTCTTCTTTAACTTTTTTATCATTCATACACCAAAATCGGACTGTGAATCTCTCTTGATCCGTTTGGATAGACATCTCGTTGGTCCAGGCAGCTGTCCAATTTTGCCCAGATTGTAGGGGCAAGACAGCGCAGGCTATGTTTGCCTTATGTTACTGAATTAAATCGAGGTATAATAATATAATAAAATCAGAGTTTCTAAGGTGATAACCACTATTATTCAGTTTGAAAAGATCTGCTATGTGCTAAGGTGATAAGTTATTTTTCACTTTATACATAACTGTGGCCATTTCCTGTAGTCGACGATTCCGCAAAGTATGCAAATCAGCCCAAAGTAATAATTCTTCGTAAGAAGCACTTTTTTTGCAATAGACAGCGCGTAGCGGGTAACCCTTCAGTATTGTTTCGTACCACTCACTGGTTGTTTCTGGATCGATTCTTAACCTGCACTTTCTTTCGCAAAAATATGATCCCATAAAACCTAGCGCCTCATCTGAAAATCCATAAGCTCTCAATTTGGCAATCAGTAACGGGAAATGAAGTGAATCAAATGCTTTAGACATGTCAGTAGAGAGAACTCGTACCAATTTGATGTGAATCTTTTAATCTTTTGTTGTGTTGTGAATTTTGTTTCCTACCAATCTGTTGTGCATTTACCAAAAACGTTGGTAAAAACTATTTAGTTTCACTGTATTTGTATCGACATAAAGCTTATTGGATAAATGATCAACAATTGTATTTTTAGTCAGTCGGATATCAACATCACCAGAGAATGTCGCACAGTTTCTAGTTACAAAGTTACCATCTACATACCCTTTATGATTATTGTTTGTTGATTATTTGATTATTGTTTATTATGTATGTAAATATTTCCGTGGTCTTTATAGTTTCCATTGGAAATGGACTCTTTCCTAATTACACATATCTTTCGTGTATCTTCATGACTAACAAGATTATTTCGATTGGCATTTAAAGTTTGAAAATCTTGCTTTTTGCTTCCAATGACGTAGTTATTAGCTTTAATGTCAACATCTTTATTATTATCATGTTTATCAATCATTGCCGAATCAAGACGAATCAAGTTGATGTTTTGTGATTGCATCACTGTAATCGGTACCTTCAGCTAAATTTTTCAGTTTTTTTATTATCTATATCAGAGTTATTGTTTGCATCTCTTTTTGTGTTCGATCCTTGTATTTTTTGTGTTATGCCAAGAGCCATAATAGGACAATATGGCTCTTGGTTATGCTCTTAATTTATTGACTTATATCATCACTGGAGTATTTATCAACATTGTTATTGAAATTCCCATTTTATTTTAATAGTTATATATAATCTTCAGCAAAATCTCTTTTAACAACGTGTTAAAGAGATCCGTATCTGTTAAATTTTCTTTTGCAAAGAGATTTAGATGGTTTTTAGTGACAGGAGGATACTAATACCGAACAGTTTAATCGCAGCTTTTGCGGTACATCATAATAAGACTGACTTGAATAAATGGGACTAATCATGTGATGTCTTCCATCAGTTTAATGATTTGCAATTTTATCCTGTACTTGGTTTGAAGCATTTACCAAATCATCAAAAACAGTATTCTGTGGTATCTAAAATATCATCTGCGTTTCCTAATTCAAGAACATTGTAACCAAGCGGCTTTTTGTAATATCACTTATCCATAATCTGTTGAAAATCAACCATTTTTTCTTGATGTTGATTTGGAGTAGTTTGGAGTGTAAATGAATATTTTATCATAATAAACCAATGGTTCTCTTAAAATTTGCCTAAGAGTGTTTGTTTTACCACATCGAGTTTGACCAGTTATTAACATTCGAAAATCTTCATCAAGGAAGTCGTTTATCTTGCTCTTTGATTCCTTATGCTTTTATCATAGTTTGATATTTTCATTTGTATTATTAGTTTTAAACCATAAATAAGATATAAAATGCCAATTATATTTCAGAATAAATAATTATACGCTGGTAATAAAAAATGGGTATTGCAATATTAAAAAATATGCTGATTCGCCTTATGATGTTTATCATGATATATCAGGAGCTGCGAAAGAAGTGAAGAATGAGATAAAAATAAAGACAAAGGTAGCCTGAGTATCAGGGCTTCCTAAGGGGCTAAGGGAGAGGAGTTTTTAGATGGGGGAGGGGGAGAGGGAGGAGGCTTCTCTCCTTCCCCTTTTCCCCCAGAAACACCTGATTCTCAGGCTAAGAAAAAGGTGCTGATATTGTTATGAGTGATTATTTCAAGACATTGAGAGAACCTATATTGAGCAACAGAAAAAGACAGATTAAAAACAGGATAAAGTATTTGAACTTACTTCATTTTGTAATAAAATGACTGAAGCTGTACTGAACCATGTCAGCAACTTCCAGCGTCATCAATTTTAGTTAGATGAGGAGGGATGAAGATGAAGAAGAATTACCAGAACAACCACTTTTATCGACAAAAAAGGTAGAAAAAGATGACTTGCATAAAAATTTGAAAAATAATAAGGAATTAGAAGAAATATTGAATAAATATGGATATGAATTATTATCATTTTACAAAGATAATGATGATACAAATATTAGTATGCTTAATGTAGTCAAATGGTTACGAGTGAAATAAGCCCGGGGGGTACTCCTGGGAATTCTTGGTGAGGGTGTGCCGCCCTGTTCTCCAAATCCTGACCCTATTTCAGACCAAAAAATGTAATTTTCCACACCCGTTTTCAGACCAGACCTTTGAAATCCATACCCGTTTTCAGACCTGTCCTTTAGGCAGAAATTATGTTATCATTACTTACTCATCAAATCCATTTGAAATTGGCAAATTTCTCTTTCTTTCTTACTCATTTGGAATTGAAACGATGATACATTCATACACTTCCGTAGTTCCCCTGAAAACCATACCCGATTCCAGACCAAAATGGGCAAAGTGTATACCCGTTTCCAGACTAAAACTGCCCAAAACCCTAACCGCTGTGGCGGCACATACCTATGTAGCTTATACAAGGGAGTACCCCCCCCCCCCCCCGGTGAATTTAAAACGATAAAAATTTATAACCATTCCTCAGTTCCCCTAAAACCCATCCCCAATCCCAACCAAAATGGGCAAAATGTAATCCCCGTTCCCAACTAAAACCCCCCAAAACCCCCACCCCTTGGGGCGCACAAACCCATTTAAGTTTAAAAAGGGGGTACCCCCCCCCCCCCCGGGAAAATAAGGAAAATAATTTTACGCGCGTTTTGTCAAAATTCATATATACCTTTTTGCCCTCGATTATCGGGAAATAAATTTTTAATTAAGTTAAAATAATATTCATTTTAATTAGTGTAAAAACAGTTTAGCCAAGGAAGCAATTAACTGTTTACATGTAAGTTTGTAGCATAGTCATTAAAGATTTTTGCATCAAGAAGAACTATTTAAGGCCATTTTCTATAGCGTTTTATCGAAAGCAACATTCTTAAGTGCGATTATGAAGTTTCATTTTCCTTGGGTGAATGTTCGTTTGTGAGAATAGAATATCAATTACAATTATTATTTTTATAAGGATTATCTTGCCAATATTGCGTTGAATTTGGAGGTACGTTAAAACACACAGATTTTCTTTGCCAATAACGATCCTTTGATAGACCTGAGAAAACCATAAACGCTGATTTATCATACGTAGAAAAATGGTTTTTTGGAAAATGGCATGAAAAGAAACCACTCTAAACACCAGGCTATGGTGATGGGCTATTTAGGAAAGTTAATCCGAAATTTCACTGCGAAAAATAAGTTGATTCCAAATATGCGGATGCGCTACAGATGCTTGGAGTTACTGTTGATGATATGTTGAAATCGCTAATATCTGTAGAAAAGTATGACAACAAGTTGCAGTTTTAAATCGCATGAGAAATATACTTGCTTTCGATATAAGAAAGAATATTTACGTGTCCTTTATTGTACCAAATTTCTATTACTGTGCACAAACCTGGCATTTCTACTGCAATAAGATTTCGGCTAAAAAACCGCAGAAAGTAAATGAAAGAGCTGTTCGGTTTTTTTTAGAGACAAACACACTACATATGAAGGACCTTCTTAAGCTTTTAAGTAGAAGAACCCTATTCCTGGAGGTATCAGGCGCCCAAGATCGTCGTCCGATTTTAACAAGTTCAAAAAAAACTGTTAGCAAATGACTAATTATTTTAATATCGATGAATTGCCTTTTTATTCAATTTTGTAAATAATTCTTAATAGCATTTTATGTATGACAACTTAATTTTAATTGTTATTACGTATTCTACAGACTACTATCAACGTCTTATTTTAGAAAGCTGGTTTACTAACTTAGAACAAACACCACTGAATCGTAGCCAACAGTTACCAGCGTCGTACAAACGACTTATTGACGAGATCAAGCAAAACTAACTACAAGAGAATGACAATATTAATTTGACTCAACAATAGACGACTGTAACTAACCCATGTAGCTATATGGGCAGTATAACATTGATTGTTCTTATTTTGTAAAGATTGGGATAATGACCATAATTGAAGAGTGAATGTTTCACATGACCTTGTTTTTAATAATCAATTGTTCAATTGTCAATGAAGGGAGGCTTAAAAGTATTTCAACTTTCAGGAAGAGGGTTTCCTCTTTTCTGAGAGAGAAACAGTAATTATAGTTTTAAAAGTGCTTTAGTGGAATATTTTACTTTATTGTTATTTATTACATTTTACTCTTCCATGTAATAATTAACTTTTTTGATTACATCGGGAACGTCTCTAGTATGGCTCGTAAACTATCAATTTTGGATGTTTTCCCTTTACAGGATGTAATTTAGCTGTATAAATTTTAAAGTTAATAAAGGTTCAAAACTTACACATTTTTACGTTAACTTGTCTTTCAGAAGACATGTTTATGGCGGGAAAAATGCAGAAGGTTATGCAAGCCTGCAATGTCATCTCTATTGGCATTACTGTTGCGAATTTTCTTATCAGCACCAATCGGGTTGTAAAAGGCATACAGTTAGCCGAAGAATGCCTCATTGTCCTGAACAACACGGTGCTGAGGGAAAATACCAAAATCTTCAATATACTCTATCGTTACATAAGTGTTATAATCTCCAACGCTTATAGTTATATTTATGATTACACAAGAGAAATTGAATGGAGCGAAAAACTTCTTGAGGGCACGGTCCAATTATTTGGAGAATTTAGTGATGAGGTGGGCTCAGAAGCCATGAAGCTGGCAGCTTTGTATAAACGGCAACTTAAATATGAGAAAGCAAAGGAACTGTTGGAGAAAGCACTGCGCATCAAGCAAGAGACTGGCAACAGAGACGATGAAGCAACGTGTTACATTAACCTCGGGGCACACTTTCATCATCTCGGGCAATACCATAACTTTAAGAAATGTGTCGAAAAGGCACTTGAGATAAGAAAAGAAATTGGTCACAAAATGGGAATAGCTCAATGCTATGGACACCTAGGGATGGTATTTGAAGCACTCGGACAGTATGACAAGGCCATGGAATATATTGACAAGTCACTTTTGATAAGAAGAGAAATAGGAGACAGAAAAGGAGAAGCAACAGATTACATACACAAAGGAAAAGTGTCTTACTCAGTCGGTGAGTATGCTGTCGGTAAGAATTTCGCGCAGGAAGCACTTGCAATTCGAAAGGAAATCGGCGACAGAGGAGACGAGTGTGTGTCCTATAATGCTTTTGCCGTATTCTTCTGCCACCAGGGTCAGTATGCCAAGGCTGTACAATGCTTAAGGGAGTGTCTTTTGATAGCGAAAGAAACGGGACAAAAGGAAGCAGAAATCTTTTGTTATATAAACCTAGGAAATGCTTACTGTAATCTTGGAGAATACGCCGAGGCTAAGGAGAATATTGAAAAAGCACTTAAAATAAGTAAAGAAACTGGGGATATCGAACAACAGTTTGCGTGCCATTACCACCTCGGATGGATTATGATGTTTGAGGGAAACACAGAGAAGAGTATTTCAAATCTCTTTTCTAGCATCCAAAACTGCGAGGACTTACGCGGTTTTTTAGGGGACCATGAACCGCATAAGGTGTCTCTTTTAGACAAACACTTCCCTCCCTACCAAACTCTCAGTAAGGTGTTTTGTAAGAGAGGAGATTATGTTAAAGCATTGTACGTTTTAGAACTTGGACGAGCCAGGGCTTTAACAGAGTTAATGTCAACTCAGTATTTTGCTGGAAAGCAAATTACAATAGATCCACAATCATGGATGGGCATTGAGGGGATCATCAAGAAAGGAAGTAACTTTACTTGTCTATACATTTCATATTTCATGCTGGAAATTTATTTGTGGATTTTGAATCAGAAACAGTCGGTGCATTTCCGACATATGAAGGAAAATGAAACTGTTTCGACTATCGGACCGGTGGAAAATTTGAACGCCTTTCTAAGAAACCCACCCGTTAGAGGGTGTCAGAAGCTTCCTCAAGGACATTGCGAGGATCGATCAATGTTCCCTTTGGTCGCTCGCTCCTCGTCACTTCAAGCTCAGGAAGATAGAGTTGCAGCTCTCCGCCTTGTTGAATTGGATGAAGACGATCAAGAACAAGAACCGAGACCAACTCTTGAGCTACTTTACAAGATTTTCATCGCTCCAGTGACTGACCTGCTTGACGAGCCCGAAATTCTCATTGTTCCTGATCGTTCCTTGTACAAAATTCCATTTGCAGCGTTAAAGGATGAAAATGGGAAGTATCTTTCAGAGACTTTCAGGATCCGCATTGTTCCATCTTTGACGACTCTCAAGCTCATTCAGGAGAGACCAGCAACCCAGTTTAATGATAGGAGCGTGTTGATAGTCGGTGATCCTGATGTTAGCTATGTGAGTGAGTTCTCTCAACTGTCTTTTGCAAGAAAGGAAGCGAAAATGATCGCCGAATGGTTGGGTGTTCAACCGTTGTTAGGGTGTCAAGCAACAAAGCAGGCGGTACTTGAAGCAATGCATTCAGCAAGTTTGATACATTTTGCTGCACATGGTGATGCCGAAAGAGGAGAAATTGTTCTTGCTCCAGTGCGACCTGTCAACAGGACTTTACATAAAGACGATTACGTGTTAACAACGGCTGATGTTTCCGAAGTTAAACTTACGGCGAAACTAGTTGTCTTAAGCTGTTGTCACAGCGCACATGGACACATTAGAGCTGAGGGAGTGGTTGGAATTGCCCGAGCGTTTTTAGGATCCGGTGCACGCTCAGTGTTGGTGGCGTTGTGGGCCATAGAAGACAAAGCAACAGAGCAGTTTATGGGGCGTTTCTACGAGCACCTTGTGCGCGGTGAAAGTGCAAGTGAATCTCTTCACCAGGCTATGAAGTGGATGCGAGAGAACGGCTTCCCTGAAGTGTGGAAGTGGGCACCTTTTATGCTAATTGGAGACAACGTGACGTTTGATTTCAGAAAGTAAAGGTTAGTCTTTTGACGCAGAAATATGAAAAACGTATTCGTGTGCATAGTTTGTCAGTTGAGATTCTTTGTTTCACCACCTTCAACAACAGCCTGGTTTCCAGGGTTTTCCTTCAGAAAATTGGGAGAGGTGGCCCCTCTCAATTTCCAGAGAGATAAATTGCGAACGAGCTTGGTTCAACAAGCAATCTGTACTTGTTTGAATGCAGTATTCTTTCACGTCAAGTCACACGAACAATGGTTACTCGTCAGTATTTCCTAGTTTCTAAAATCCTGTCAATATGCATCCCCTGAATGGCCAAAAACATGACGAAATTTAAAAATATGAAAATTTCTGAGATTTTTTGTTTACGTTTGCATTAAGGAAATGTGATGGCCAAACGGGGTGGTCTTGAGGCGTGGTTTCACACCCAGGTTACAGGCTTAGATTATATGTAAGGCGTCTCTCTTTCAGAATGCAATCTTTACAGGTAGCAATTTTGACTCCTGAAGGAGGATCAAGAGGTTATCCCTATATTAAGATCTCCCCTTATAGATAACCCACCCAGCCCTGGAAAGGTTGGCCACACTCCCGGGGTCTACGTCCCTGCTCTTTTCGAACAGTGGTGTGGATTCTTTTACTTCCCACAAGAGCCAGATAAGTGAAAGTGCCGTGAAACGTGACCTACGGTTTTTCGCCCTTATCCAAGAAGATTAGAAATATGCAGAAAGTCTAACCGTTTGTAGATGTCATTACATGGCATCACTTTCTTCTCTGAGTTTTTCAAAGACCCTGAGTGTTGTGTTGGTCCGGCCTGGGTTGATCTCGTTACTTCCCGCTCAGCAGACCGGAGTTCTCCCAACTGAGCTAACCAGGCGGCAATTCTGTAAAGTCATGAGCGTAGAAGACACACACAAGAAATGAAAATGACCTGATTACAGTGGAACCCCGCTCTACGGACACTCGCTTAATACCGACACCTGTATATAACGGACAGTTTCGTTTGTTTCGACAAAAAAGGTCATAAATTTTCTCTAAAATTAACCCGCTTAATACGGACACTATAACGTGTCCCGTCGGTGTTCGTATTAACGGGGTTCCACTCGTATTAAAGGCAGAGCGTTTAGTCTCTTATAAAATATATCCCGCCTGTACTATACGTATGTAAACATCGGCATTTCGCGACAAGAGAGCTGTTGTGATTTGGTCCTTATTTGGTCATGAATGAAGGAGAAAACTGTACGTTTTCTGAGAACCTTCATTGCTCCATTTCTCGTTCTCAGTCAATGGCAACGGATTAAAACTAAACTATAAATTTGACTAACCCCGAGGTAAAGGTGTATAGTAGTACACCTTCAATGCAATGATTTACTTAGAAATCTCCGAGACCTGGAAATATGCTTTGGATGCTTTGACTTGTACGATGTTTACCATATAAGTGTAAGGGTGAGTTCTGAAAGTAATGATTAAGTTTGTGTCGCTAATAAATGCATTGTTAAGTAGGTTTCAATGACGTGTTTGACAGGAGGATTACTTGCTTTATTCGGAGTTCCATTGGTCAAATGAATGGTGTACCTTATTGTTACTGAAAAATGTATATGCTTCATAAATCAGATAAATATAAACGATTTAACAGGCTATTTTTTTGTTTTTTTGTTCCTTGTAGGAGTAACTCGATTGAAGGTAGACGAAGGAAAAATGGACTCGGCTCCAGGAAAATTGTAAATACAGTACTCCCCTGGAAGCTCAAACTTCTGTGTTTTGTGGAATTTTTGAAGTTTGTTTGACATTGTCCAAGGGTATTTACCTGTTATTATTTAAGTAGTTAAATAGTCTTCAAGCAAAAGAAAAGAGTGATAGACATAGTCAAATGTAAGTAAAATGTACAAAAACGCACGACGTGGGTGTTAATAACCGACTTGATGACAGCTCACGCTTGCTATGTAGCGGAATATTTTAGGTCTTTTTTTAGCTTTTCCAGTTTAATTGGTTATGTCCTAAAGAAGAAATAATCATGGTTTTGAATTGTAACACGTAAATTCATTATTCAGTTTCTCAGTTTAAAATAGACTTGTCATCTTGAATCCTTTGAGAACTGTGTTTTCGTCAGATCGATTTCAAACTTTTTTTCCAGTCGTAAATTTCCCATTTATGACTTTTCATGCCCCGCCCACTTTCCAAGGGAAAAGGGCTGGGGGCGAGGTTAAGCTTTTTCATCTGTGTACATGTTAGAATCCTTTCACAGGTTAAACTAGTATCCGAACTATAACGGTTAAGTCAAGTTTTGCTGGGATTCTAACCTGGTAACGTAGGACGAACACTGGTTTAAGTCGAGAAAGCATTTTATCTACAGCATTTAAATGCTCGTGTAAAACTCGTTATTGTAGTGTTTCTCTTGTATAAAATCCAGAATAGTTCACCATATAATTGGTGTAAGTCCCTTTGGAGTTAGACTGTTTAACTTGATATATTTTTCCTGTTTTAATAACCTTAGAGTTTTGCTGACCAGCTTTATTGCAATTTCTCTAACAATTCTTGTTGAGGTTAGCCAAACCGTGTGCAATATGTAATAAAGCAGTTTTCCTCAGCTGTGGCTCTCTTTTTTTGGAGAAGGAAGTAATATGGCCACATCAGGGTTTAGGGCTTCTCGCCACGTTGCTTTTATCGAGAGTGCCTGGCTTTAAATTGGTGTGATGATACCTTACGATGCAAAAGTAAAATGTATCGCCTTACCGTTTTTATTCTTTAGAAAACAGAAAAACGCTGGCCATTTGAATTCTTGGGGGACAGAAGTACAGTGAAAAACTTGATACATGTGGAGCGTTGTTGTTTTGCTTACCAAAACTGTTCATGAGTTTTGTCGTTCCCTTCCCACCGTAGTTTCGTAAGGTCCCACAGTATTAGCTTACGAATACAGCCACCCATTTCATACAAGCCTACCCCTTTCACTATTAAAGTGCTCGAGAACTATAGATGGGCGTTAACCAGAGAACAGAGAGGGCGTGGATCATTGAATTTTCTACCTCGCTTTTTGGAATTTAATTCGATTCGGCTGATGTGAAGTACGGCGCCTTGACCGGGCGTTTAAGGAGTGTGCTAAACTTTTCTTGAGCTTTAAGTAGGGATCAGCCGTTAGGTCGAATAAGTGTGAACTTCCAACGCTTTCTGAAAGCCTGTTGGCAATGAATGGATGAATGAATGAATGAATGAATCAATGAATAGACGATAAAAAGCGATACTTCGATTATCACCTGTGTAATGTAGGTCGCATAGAAAACTCTCTACTGGGACTTTCATGGTACTGACCATGAAGGTAGAAAAAGGCTACTAGAATGTTTTTTTTTTCCTGATAGTTTGACATTTCAGCCGCCTGTTATCTACAGTCGCGTTTAAGATAAGATTGGCACTATTCTGGACTATTACATTAAATATTTCAGTTCACACTTGTTACTGGGCTTCCCGTGAGGGCATAGCCTACGGACACAGACGCATTTCCGGTTGCCGCTTCCCTCCATCCGTTACTTTTCGGGTGGAGAGATCAGCGATGACCGGAAATACGTCTGTGTCCGCAGGCTAGTGAGGGCAATACCCATTCAAGAAATACCTTCCATCTATGTCGAAAAAAGACAAATGGCAGACGGAGCTCACTGAAGGCCTTGCGTGTCCCATTCCCGCTTCAATGGCGCCGGTTTTTTTGCGGGGAGGGAACAGGTCATGGTCATTAAGCGTTGAAAATAATTCCAATCGTTTCTTGTTTCAAAAAGCTAACTTGCTTATTCATAACGGTAGAAGTTACTCTACAGCCCCGGCTTAAAAACGCGCTGTCAGCAGACCAATGAACCCCAGTTGTGGGAGTCCTGTTACTGCTTTGCTGCTTTCATGAAATATATTTAAATGACCTCCAAGGTATAGATAACACTTAACAAAAGAAGCACGCGGGCTGACTTTACAGTCGGGAATATATATGTATTTTACTAATATTTCGGAAGGCACGGCTTTTCTTTTTCAGGGTCTTACATACAAGGATGAGGTTACCGTAAATCCTCTTTTGAGCCCCCCTCTCAAATAAACGCCCCCTTTTCAGAGGAGGAAAGTTAATAAGCCCCACCCTCCCCTCCCCTCCATCCTTGTTCTTGACAAACAATGTCTTTACGCTCCGCCACCCTTTACACTCCCTGACTCGTCCCCAGTCGTCTCTTATTATTAGTATTTGGCGTGGAAGACTAGAACGGGCTCTTTAACGAAGGGGATGCGCGCGCATAACCCAAGCGCTTCCCTGGTAAATAATTAATGAGTAGAGGCAACTTAGAGACGACTGGGGACGAGTCAGTTATCCTCCCCACACTACCTCTCCGCTCGCTTCGCCGATTTTTTTTTCGCCCTTGCTGATTTTTTTTTCAATGCGGAGCCTGGTCCCAGGCTAAAGTGTGTCTGTCCGTGTGATATTGTTAACTCGTTGTATTTCCTGTTGAAGGAAATAGTGGTAAATAGGTACTATAAATAGGTATGTTCACTAGCCTGGGGGGAGCAGACGATTTTTTCTGCTCTTGTTACGCCCGTCGAAAAAAACAGCTATTTTTTTGGCGGGCGAAACTAGAGCCGAAAAAAGCGTCTGTTTCCCGCAGGCTTAGGTAAGCCCCTTATCTGAAAATGATCCCCAAAAACAGGAGCCACCAAAAACCAATTAAGATTTTGAAAATGGGATCAATTTAGGTTCTTGGAAAACTGCCCACCTACCCCTCTCCTTAGCCATTATTTTGCCCTAAGTGAGAAGTAAGTGTTGATGTTTTCTTATGGGAGGGGTAGGTGGGCAGTTTTCCAGAAATCTAAATTGATCCTGAAAATGCCCCACCTTTCAGCAAAATATATAAAATGTCAGCAAGTCCACAGCAACAAACCAATGAGTGGTGCCGGATCCCACAGTTGTAGACCTGGATCAGTACAAAAGAATAAAATAAAAAATATAAATGTTTAAATATATTTTTTGTTTTCTTCTTTTGTTTACTTCCTCATCGCCTTGCCGTAAGGATCAGTTTGCTGTTTCATATTGTTCAGCAAAATGGCCGCACCCCTCACAGTTAAGTTATGAATATATGAAAATCATATATGTGAACTGCGGAGTGAAGAATTAAATGAAGGATGATCATCGAAGCCATATACGCAACTTTTGCAGTTGCGAAACCAATTCAACGACCTGCTCCCAGTTGGCTTGTTAGCTTAACTGGTAGAGCGCTGCACCGGTATTGCAGAGGTCAAGGGTTGGAATCCCGTACAAGGCTGACTTTTTTTCAGGCTTTCTTTTCGCAACTGCAAAAGTTGCGTATATAAACTGCGATGATCATCCTTCATTTAACACCCCTCGCAGTTAATAAACGACCAGCCTCTAGCCTGTTCCAGGCATCCAGATAGAAGAGTGCGGGCTAACCTGAGATCAGGCTCTATTTTCGTTTCGCTTTGTAAATAACATTCCGGCGGGCAAGGCGAAACGAACGAGCACAAACGTGAGTGAGTTTGCATCAGGCCCAATTTCAGCGGTAGCCGTTAGAGAGAATGTATGAGAACCGCTCAAATTGGGCCTGATCTCAGGATAAGTACAAGTGCGGGCGAAAATTACAAGTTTAGTTGACGGACCATTAGTTTTTTGACGGGGCGGGGGGGG